CCCCAAAACCCCAAAACCCCAAAACCCCAAAACCCCAAAACCCCGAACTGTACTGAGGAAATAGAATTATTAAAAATGGCAAGAAGCTCTAAGAGAGTACCCTTTACTCAAAAGATTTGGAAGAGATATGATAAGGGTATATCGTTTTATGTGATGACTGGGTTTTATTTTTATTTGATATTTATATTGACGTTTGTCTTTATTCCGGACTTTAAGAAGCATTATAGTTCATTATTTACAGGGATTGTTTATTTCGTTTGCCTATTCTTCGGAGTGATGTCTTATTGGTGCTTTGTGAAGACTTCAATAACTAATCCAGGGGATGTTGATAAGAATTATGTGCACCCAATGCCAAACCCTTTAGATAGAGATAAGTCTATCATGAACAATGAAGGTCAGCAGACCTTTAATCCTCCGACTGAGAGTATTTATGACAAAATCTTAATACATTTTGAAAAATATGCAATCCAGAAGGAGAACAGATGTGACCTAAATCAGACTTCAACAACTGATATTGAAAATCCTGGAGGTTTTGTTCTTCCCAAAGATTATGGAACTAAGAATTGTATCATGAATAATTATTGATACAAGCATTGTGGCAAGTGTAAAATGGACCAACCTCCTAGAGCGAAGCATTGAGATTTGTAAGCAATTTTAATTCAAATTTTAGGTGTAAAAGATGTGTGCTCAGATACGATCATCATTGTGTTGTCCTTGGCAATTGTATAGGTCTCCACAACTTCAAGTACTTCCTGTTGCTTCAGTTATACACATTCTTAGGAGGTGTAAATCTTCTATTCTGGTTTGTCTATGGAGTTAAAGTTCATGGCTTTGGATCAAATGAATTTGTCTTCTTTTTCGCTCAATATGTTTTCCCGATTTCCCTTGTTGGAATGATGTCCTTTGGATGTTTAGGACAGATCTTTGTGAACACTTATTACGTGGTTAAAAACAGAACGCAGATGGATGTAATGCTTGATTTCAAAAACAACGTATTCGACTCTGGATCTTTCCTCACTAATGCCAAAGATGTGCTAGGAAATCCTTCGAGTAAATTCTGGTGGCTCCTTCCAGTTGATGTTGGTGAAAAGACTACAGATGGGCATAATTACTATTTTTACCACTATGGCTAAAGACTTCGATTCCTCCAATTTTTATGAAGTTTTAGGGGTTTTGGGGTTTTGGGGTTTTGGGG